CCCCCCCCCCCCCCCCCCGGCCGAATCTCGCCGCAGCGAGCTGGAGCTGTCCTCCCTGATTGGAATTCAGTTCACCGAGTCGGCACGGGAGCCGGAGGCGTGAGTGGAGTGCTAGCGGGTAGCGACTGCGGCGAGAGGACCTCCTAACAAAACTGGGGAGGGGGGGGGGGGGGGGGATTGGCCAAGGCGAGTGTGTCCGACTCTCGTTCTGTCAGAATCCCTCCTTCTTGAATAACTCCCCATACTTATTTTGCTCATATGTACTGATAACTGGTAACACACATCATTAACTAATCCATCCATCCAGCCATCCATCTTTCGGCCGCTTATCCTAGTCAGGGGCCTGGAACCAATCCCATGCAGGATATATCTTGAAGCAGGGGAACACCACAGACAGAGTGCCAGTCCATAGCCGGGCACACCAGGGGGGTGGGCCTCGACCCGTCAGCAGTGAGGCCACCAAGCTGCCCTTAACTAATAAATAATTCATTCATTTCCTTAGTGATCATCCAGCTTAATTCGATTTAATTTTATTTTATGGGCTGGGAGGTACAGAACCGCCTGGGTCTTTTATGAGATGTAGGTCTGTACAACAGTATGAGAATCATTATATCATAAATCATTATATCACCTGTAATTAACCTGGCAGTACGATGGCACTATTGGGCCTGGACTAAAAGCTGTTTCCTCTGGTCAGTATATATTTAATCAAACGAATCTCCATAATGAACGTAAGATACATAACGCTGGTAAACTGGATCTTATACTATTTTAATGCAAAATCATTTGAAAAAGTGCAGTTGGACAGGGCAGCAGAAGTATTAAAAAAAACTTGTAGGAGATAAAATGTAAAAAAAACTGGATCCATACCAAGAGGATAATGCTTTTAATTCATCAGTGTACTGGTTTTGATTTCACATATCGGGCGATCAGAGAGACAGAACAGCATCCCAAAAAAAAAACAATCTACCAGGGATGAATGTGTCCTTTTCCTGAACGTATAAATTCTGCGTAGAGGTGGCGACCGACCCATTAAGGTGCCATGGGGTGCGGGGGTGGGGGGGCAGGGATCAGGGTCCGAGTCAGAGGGACGATTCATTACGGCGTTAAGCCCTGTCTCATACCGTAACGCGCAGTCCTTTTCCGCCAACAGCCCAGAGACGCTGCAGGAGAAAAATCAATAGTCAAAAAAAGGGGTGTGGAGGAGAGGATGCAGGATGGAGGGAGGAGAAGAAAAGAAAAAATAGAACGGTGGCCTTTTTAGCGATGCTGCCCAAAAGGGGGGGGGGGGTTGGTGGTTTTCTGTATGTCTCAATAGCTCTCAGAGACCATTAAAATTCCAATACGATCCTTCCCACTATTAACTAGGAGGGGTCAGCGCTCTGACCCGAGCGGGATAGACAGACCGTACCGTGGCGGTATCGGGCGGAGGCCGCGCGCATACAAATTGAATGTCACTGCGGCGGACTCCTCTATAAAGGGGGGATTCCCAGCTCTGACTGTTTCCTGAGATGGGATCCCTCTGTGATGAGTTTTTAACCAGGCAGGATGGAATTCTGACGATGGACGACACAGATCTTCATACATCCCTTTTACTTCCATATCCCGTACTCCTGGAACTGAAACCCTGCCGTGTCAAATTTAACATCTGTCCGAGGGTACAAGCCCCCCCCCCCCGGGAGACATCCAAACAGCGCCCCCTGTCAGTGACTTTGATTGCCCGCCCCCCCTTATCAAAAACGCTCACCCCTCTATCCCTCATCACCTTGCACATTGCAACCACAGCGGCTTTAACGTCACATCGTTATATAAAAGTTTTAAAATGGTTTTCAAACTATTAATGACATGGACACAGGGGCGCCGAGAAGAGGGGGAAAGTTATGATTCCAGGGGCCCCTGTGTGACTGTGGCCCTAAAATTCGGAACATAATACGATTGATCTGGGTTGGGTGCACAATATAATATGCTTTCATGGGGCCCAAAATCATTAGCAGCCCCCCTGCATGCACGTAAAAAATATAAAATACGTCCATCACTGCGTCCCAGGGTTGCAATATATAAAATAGACATTTTAAATGTACATAAATTATCTTTGGATAATAAAATGTTAAAATATCTTCAAACATAGACATCGAAATATAAAGATAACGAGTACGGCATTTGCTGGTTTCCTCATTAAGACTTAAACATCCGACACCGACCTGCGACAGGTCGAAGGGGGGTGTCTCTCTCCCTGATTCTGAACTCTACCAACTTGCTTTCACTCTGAAGCCGGCCTGGACCTGGATTGATCCTCCTCCTCACCCTCCCTTCTCCCCTGTTCTCCGCCTGATTGTCTCCCGTGTCGTTTGGACACGAGGCCGGGCTGAAAGACAGTTGGGCCCCCTCCTGAGATGGCACCTCCACACCCCGCTGTTTCACAGCTCTGCACCGAATATTGGAGGCTGCCCCATTTCCGCCTCCTTGTGGTCGTATACTGGTATTTTTAACAGATCACGGCTTGAAACGTTCCAAACCCTCAGATATCTCCTCGCCTCATTCTCTTCCTCCTCCTTTGCCTCATCCCTTTCCCCCTAAGACCTGTGTCTAGTCTCTATTCCCTCCTTCACCAATCTTCTGGTAAACCTTTCTCTCTATTATACCTTATTGGCAGACAGATCTTTCCCCAATCCTGATGATATCCTGGAACATCATCTTTCAAAACATTAACTCAAAATAAGCACATGTTAATCTAATAATATATCCTCACGAGCATGTGACCGAGATGCTAATAGGAATTAGCGAGCATGCATCATCGTACATCTCCCAACGTAATGAAGAGCGCCGTCAATAATGAACTCCAGGCTACTTGTGGGCACATGTAATTTTCCTTTCGCTGCTATGTTTGGGATTTGGCCCACGTACACACAGCAATCGCACGAGATGGTGTTTATATAACATCTGTTTTAATTCCAAACATGCAAATTGCATGAGGCAAAGGTTCAATCATGAGCAATCCCCAACGGTAATAATTTTTGCATTCACATATCATAAGATTAAGTTATGAATTGTATAGATGGCACTTCTACAATTTGCCCTATCTTCTGGCTGAGTCTTTATGCTTTCCAGTGGCATCTTCATTGTTGCGATGATCGTGTAAATCCATCTGGTTGTTGCTCATCTTTTTCCTCTTTCACCTTCAAGTTTCCCAGCATGATGGTCTTCTTTGCTGTACTGATACTTCTTATAGTATACCCCAAAATTGTACACCCGCATAATAGTACACCACAAAATGGTATACCATCAAAATAGTATACCCCAAAACAGTACACCCCAAAATAGTATACAATCAAACAGTATATCCCAATAATAGTACACCTCCCAAAAAGAATACCCCAACATAGTACGGCCCAAAATAATATACCCCCCAAATAGCATACCTCTAAAAACAATATACCATCAAAATAGTATAGCCCTAAAGAATATGCCCCTAAAACAGTATATCATCAAAATAGTATAGCCCAAAAGAGTATACCCCAAAATAGTATACTCCCAAATACGACAGCTTCAATCTGCTTCAAGGGAAAGTTCAGGCTTAATTTGATTAGTCCACTTGTTTGTTTTCCTTGTGGTTCGGGGTATTCTTAAAAGTTCAAAGACGTCAATACTCTTCCTGACCCACTTCTTCATTGTCCAGCTTTCGCATCCATAAAGAGTCACAAACAGTGCTAAAGGTTCCTTAGGTATTACACAGCGTATCACTTCCGTTCTAATCATTCCTCGAGGTTAAGGACCCTAAGGGTTTCCAGGTCAAGTCCCAAGAGAATCCCTGCTTCCCATGCACAAGACCCTTAACCTGAATAACTTCAAATTAAATCTTGTAATGCTTTACAAGATCAAAATTAAAACTGTGGCATATAGAAGTCGCTTGGGACAAAGTAACCCACCATTTCCTATATAATAATGCCTAGTAATTGGAGTTTAATTTGATGTAGTGCCTTCATATAGAGAGCTAGAGAGGACCAGCTGTTAGCACTGACGTGCTAATGCGTGTTAGCTTCGGTAAAAGCCTACTTTCCACAGTCAGTCGTTACGTCGGCGTGACCCTCGTGTGCCAGCGGGACGGCTGAGCAGCTTTCGCATATGTAACCTCTCCTCAAAGACACAGGCCCAAAGTTCTGGGGGCTTGCGGGGAGAGCCAATAGCATAGCGCTGATAGCAGAGCATCGATAGCGCACCTCCAGTTAGCTTTCCAACAGTCTCCTGCAGCCCACTCACTGCCTTGGATGACTCAGTCAAGCAGTTTGCTGCCTCCCTCTTCTCCAGGTAAGGCCAGTCGTACTCAGAATTAATTGCTAATTAACGAGCTGGAAAGTGCATGCCTAGCGCAGCCTGGTTTGTTATGATGGATGAGCACCAGGCCAGAGCTGCAGAGGGTGACCATTTGCCATCACGCCAGGATGGGAGTCTCCCTCCACCACGCTATCCATGGCGCAACTGGAGGCTTCCAACAACACACACTGGGTTTCCAGACACCCTGCAAACCATGCTTGAGTGCAATACTGCCTCTCATCCATTTTTATTTCTGCCAGC